AGTAAAAAAGAGCATGCCGGTATTGCAGATGCAAGCGCGGAGTTACTTGGGTGTATGCATATGCGTGCATATTAAAAGAAGATATGCCAATGCTTTTGCACGAGCACATAATCATGTAACTAAGATATGTAAGAATAGAGTATATGCTTGAAAATATTCATTTCGATACAAGAAAGAGTGTCTATACGTGGATTTTTTCGAAATGAAATGTCACCTGAATGAAATGTGAATGTGTCTTGAAGATGTAGATGCTTGCAGAGTTTTATGTTAAAATTCACATATTGTTGTGGTAGTGGTTGAAGAATAAATGCAATAAAAAGAAAAGAAAGGCGTCAGATAGCCAGCAATGATGATTTAGCTAGAACAATATATAATAGTGCAATAGTGAAAATCTCATTGAGGACAATTAACACAATAATATATGACATTTTAAATATTATTCTCATAATTAATGAATTTAAACTGATAAACAATCATAATTTCAAATCAGCTAGGTGGAGGAAAACTATACCTCATCCTCACCCACACTCACCCGTGTATGATTGCAAATATAACATAATCTATTTATATGTCTATTATTCTTTGTTCGTTAAGCAGTAGGTTTTCGAGACTACCAATATACACTCATATATTATTCTTTTATTTTAGCTCCTCTTTTCAAAGTAAGTTTAGTTTAGGTTTAGGCCATTATAGAGCAAGTGGAATCAGAATTCGTAAGAATAACTAAAAGGCAAATAGTCTGAAAGAAGCAACATGAGAAAACACCCATAAAACAATTGCTTCAAAGAGCTCCTGGTATGCCAAGGCGAGATTTTTACAACCTAAAAGCCTGAAGATACTTTCATTTGGTGCAACGCAGGCATACTATAGTAAAGATATAACTCATTTTAGATGAATAAGCCGACGATCTAGATAAGTTTATAAGAGGGACAAAAAGCAACAGAGATTACATATAACTAAATTCCGAATATAGCATAAATCAAGTCTCAAAAAAGGTTTAAATTTACATGCATAAAAGAGAATAGTTAGGCTATTGAAACTTGCCTGGAAGACTTGGGAGCCAAGGGTAAAATTTGCAAATTCCATCATTACTTCTCCATTGATTTTATCGATAGAGTTTTTCCAATCAATATTGAAACCTTTAATGATATGGGTAACGCGAGCTACAAAAAAGCACAATACAAAGTTTTTTCATATTGATTGATTAAGAATAAATAAACTATTCAAATTATTAATAATATTGTCTTAATGTGAAGACAATAGAAAGATATTTCCGGATGAAGTATAACCAAAAGAGAAGAAAAATACAAAGATATTTTATTTTCGAAATAAACGTGTCCGCCACAATGAGTTACAAAAACTTTGCAGAAATCTAGCTTTGCAAAATTCTTAATTATTTTCCCATTTACACTTAATTACTAATTGATTGACAAGTATGTAATCAATTCATTCATCCAGAATGCTATTCTTCAGGTAGTCAAGACGATGGTGTAAGGATAATATAATAAGGGAGTTTCTAGTTGATCAATTAGAGTATGTCAATATCATTAGGAATATCTGAAATCTCCTAAGATAGAAAACGAGGCTAATTAAAGATCGACATGAGGAATATTGGTCATCAAGCCATATAGCTTAAAATCTCTTTTTCAAAAATTACTCAAATTATGGGGGTCTGGAGTGTAACCAATTCAGTATATCTTCAATAACAAGAAAGTAGAGAAATGAGTGTGTTCATGGTTCTAGAAATACACTAGCAGTAAAAAGAAATATTTAAATAGAAAATAAAAGACAGTTCTCAAATAATCCTTGCTAATGGAACCATGAATCACTATCCCTACTTCGTGTGACAGATTATGTATATACGCTTGGAATTGTCATGAATACTATAGCAGAGGACTTTGGACAAGGTCGCCCTGAGAACACAAGTAAGTTACGGAATTGAGATAAAGCCAATTCTATATAGCGAAAAAAGACCGCAATCAAAGTAGAGGCCGCAACATGTAGGCCTCATTCTTCCACTATTTGAGTCCTGTTGGGAGTGCTGATGAGACCTAAGCGAGCTCAGAACTGCAGTAGTGTTGATACGAATACTGTTTTGAAAGCAATACAACGTGAATTTCAATGAAAACGTAAAACCAACTCATTGGATTGTGGAAAAATTCAGCAGCTAATGCTTCGTCATCTTAAATGAAATAGGGTAGATGTATCTCGCGTATAGGTTTTAGATATTGCGTGCTTTGGTATTTGTTTGACAAGGCGAAAGGAAGAATTCGTAAACCAACAGAATCCTAAGGTGGATTGCTCTAAAGTTGTTAGTAAATAAGAGAAATCATGAAAACAGTACATCGCCAAGTATAAAGATAAGAAAAGTGGTTCTTCACAATCATATCTAAATCTTATATTGGCACACAAGAGACTAGGGCATGGGAAGTCATAGACTTGATATTAGAGATATAAACAGGATAGACGTAGCGGTGATGAGAGCTAGTGGGCTGACAGTACTCTTTATAAGAGACGTGGTCCATCTGGCAAACGCCTGACCATGACACTTACTCAGAGGCTTAAGCCGCAAATTAGTCACGCAGACGCAGGGTAGGGCCAATAACGCCTCGGGTGGCACATATGAGTTGGCAGGGCTCGAGTGATATATATGAATCAGGGAGAGGGCAGACTGATCTTACGGGGCAGGAGAGACTGTGGTAATACTTATGAAAGGAAGACTGCGTAACAATATGGCAAAATCTGATGAACATTTCCAGCGCAAGGATGAAGGGGGGTGAGAAGGCAGGCGTGGAATGCGAAGAGTTCTCATATAAGCCGCTAAAAAAAGGGCACACCGTATCACATTTAATTTAGCAAGTAAAAAATTTTGACGATGAGGGCGTGATAGGAGGATATAGGAAATGTCAATGGGCCAGGGCAGAATGAGAGATACCAAAATTGTTTAGCACACGTTTGGTCAAGGGATCGGCTTCACTTGTCTCTTTGACGAGTTGTAATATGGTGCTACG